TTTCAAGGTGATTCTCTACCTGCAAACCCACTATCATGGAGAAGACATTTTTGGAAGGTATATCACCTGGGAGTTGAGCTGTTCTTCATAACTAGTGGTGCATGTACGATGTGTGCCGTTTTGGGAACATAACTGACTCGGAGAGCTGGGCCATCTTAGGTCTATTCACTCTTACGGAGCGTCTCAAAGGCTGCTGGAAATACTTCTTCCAGTATAACAGCTAGTATAAGCAGATTTTTTAAATCCTGCATGTCTGCTGACATTTTGAGTGTGAAGAGCCCAATGCAGTTTCTGTTGCTGCTCTATCTACTAAGCTGGCACTGGTAAATGTTAAATGTAGATCAAGTGTAAAGGTGAATAAAAACAATAACCTTCATATGTAAGCTAAGGCAGACTGTTTCTGTTAGATGTTTTTCCTCATACCATTTCCTCCCTGGATGCCAATCATATCCACATTTACATTATCTTAAATGAGAGTTGGAGCCCATAGCCCACAGCCTAAACTGAGCTCTCTGGTGATCAAAAACATTTTACAGCAATACAATATAACTACTGTTTTATTAACTACACCCCTATGGAGCTCCATAAGCTAGAGTGAGCTTACTCGTTCCCAGAGGAAGTGGCTCAGTGTTTCCTTTGTATGAAAAGCTCAGAGAAATATGAGTTACCTCCAGTTTTGGAGCTGGAAGTTGGGATATTGAATAGCACTGAATTTCTTCTTGCAGGGGGAACGCTTTTACACCAGTTCTTGGGAACAAGTGTAAACACTTGTTTGAACACTTTTTGAACACTTATTCAAAAATATTAATGTGAGGGTCTTAGCTATTACTGAATCCTGGAAATAACATGACCCTTGGGTTTCCCTGGTCTAGAGGGAAGAGTGTGGCTCTGGGGCACTAGAAGCTATGTTGGGTTTGATACCTATAACACCATTTGCAGGGAAATGACACTTAAGTTGCAAAGCTCGTGACAGAAGGAGAAGGGATTTGGGGCAGTAGATCTGAGATTCAGACATTCTGGAGATAGAGTCAATAGCATTAAGAACCTTCTCTGAGGCACTTTCAGGATGCAAGATATCGCCGAACAGTGCTGCAGGTGATGGTACGTATCATCAAACATAGACAGGAAATTTCTTATTCTGGAATTCCAGCTTCCCTAGCCATGAACAACTTGGGATTAGTGACCCTCCTGAGCAAAGCCAGGAATACATTGAGCAATAAATAGTGGTGCTTGTCAGAAATTTTTTATTTAGAATTTTTTCACTTCTGAGTTTATTCTTTCCTAATTGTTCTTTTCCTTCTTTCACCAGTCACTTCACTCTCCCTACATCTCTTTCCACTCATCATCTTCACTTCAATGTTGTAGCCTTCCTCAGTTTTTCTTTTGGCTTTTTATTTACCTTAAATTTTTCGTAACAAATCTTCCAATTTTTACTCTACTCTTCCTCATCTCCCTGATAATAAAATTGGAATTAATGTGATGTTTACAAGCTTTTCCAGCAATCACGCTGCTTAAATATTATATTTCCTCCCTAATCCTCTTTGTCCCCTTTGTTTAGACTACAAGCTCATCAAGTGAGGGACCATTTCTCCTCCATGTTTGTATTACTGAGGACAAAAGGGGCCCTGTTGTCAAATGCCTCATATTAAAAAAATAATAACTGAACTGCCAATCATAATAGCAAGAAGTATTTAAATAAGAGGTCTGCTGTTCAGTGTGACTTTGGTACCCCGATAAAATGCCTTGAGATCCAGTAAGACTTCAGCCCTTAAGTATTTAAGTCATTTTTGAATATGCCCAATTATCCAAAATTTTTGAAGTACAGTCAAGTCTCTAGACAACTGCTAATTTTTGAAGTGTTTTCACAATGGAAAAATGCTAGAAGTCTATATGAAATGAATATGCAATGCAAACGATTCATACAACATGATGTTGCAATGATTCCCTGACCTTTTAGCACTAAGGAATGGCAAAATTCAGGTCACAGTACCTGCATCCCCAGCTGAATGCACAGCACTGTTGTATTCTGCTGAATTGTGCTGGAAGTCTTGCAGGTTCTGAGACCACAACCTCACGTTCTCATCCATGGGGGTCGTAGCCTGTGTTACTGTCATGGTAGCACTTACGGCCTCTGCAGTCTTCAGTTTAGCTTGCTCCAAACGCTCTCTGGCCTCCACTACAAAATAAATAGAGGATAAGAAGAACCAAACTCTTTCAAAATTTCGAGCGAGCTATAACCAGTACTTAGGAAATGGTGAGGCTGAGGGGTTTTTACCATCTGCAGAATGGGGACTCAACATTGCTTGGTTGTTTTTCTCTTTATTTCCATTAGGAATATTCAAAACTTCCTGTGATAGTCTATGGTTACATTAATTCTTAGAATTTAAAAAATTCTTATTTTCATTCTAGATTGTTAGAAATTTTCAGTGTCCTTGGATTTTGATGGTTGTTATATAGCTAAGGAAGTTGGAACAGAGATGTTGGAACAGAGTTGTTTTTCATCAAATTTTAAAAAGAAAACGCATGTATATGTTGATTTTTTTTCAGGAAAGTTATTTTTGAAAGAGAGAAACCCAAGATACTGAAGTGGTTTCTTTTCATATCTGGCATTTTGGGGTTTTTGTTTTTTTTGAGTTACCAACTACCATATTTGTAAAACCTGTGGCATTTTGCATATGATAATGTCTTGGCAGTAAAATCTAGCCATTTTTATTTGAAGTTAATGAAGAAATTTTGACCATGTCAACTCTGAACACCTTCAGATATACTTGCTGGATGCTCTATGATGTCTCTTTTCTGAAAAACTAAGGTGAGATTTTGTCAGTCAAGACTGCCAATAATCACCTTGCAAATGCTTCACTTGCCAGGTGCGATGTATATGTGAATTAGATTTTGACTGTCAATACAATAAATCCAGAGACTCGCAGATTCTCCAAGCCCTGCAAAGGTCAAGAATAACATGGGAGAGGACAACTGTAGTAAGGTGAATCATGAAGAATGTTAATAACTTTGGGTGGCAAAACGTATCATTTCATTATGAATGTGTTAAAGCTGGATGTTTGCGGTCTAGGTCTTGTAGCTTCAGTCAAATTCCTTTAGGCCTCCCTGGAACTGAACTATTAATACCAACTTCATAAGCCATATGCAAAGATAAAATGTGCTCTTAAATGTGTGAAGATAAAGCATCATAAAGATGAAGTTCCTCTTACAACCTGGCTCTGCTGATTGCATTTTTGTGATGGCTCTCATCAGTTGGCTTCGCAGAGCATTCATTCTGGCAAGAGTGCCATTAACATGCCGGCTAGTGTCTGCAATGGTTAAATCGTTACCTGTGGGGAGAAAATAGGAGGTATAGTTGAGTGGCATCAAAGTGGCATTTGAAAAGGTAAATTTCATCCTGTGGAGGTATGTTATTAAGCATTTAATTAATACACCATAGGCAGGATACTACAGCCTCTTTTAGAATAGGGCATGCTGTTACTAGGGACTTTAGATTCACGTAATCTAAAGGAAAAAACAACCTTGAAGATCCCAGCTATTATTTGCTTACCACAGAGCTTCAAAAAATGTGGAGACCTATGTCTTGATCAGTATTATCTCTCTTTGCTTTACCAGAGCTGCTGAGAATAGCTGCAGCAAGTATACAGGAAAAGTTTTAAGGACTCATAAGGTCCTGAAAAATTGAAGAGGTAAATTCTGTAATTGTAGAGCTTTCTGTCATTTTCATTGCAAAAGGCTAAAATCCTTCAACACGTTATTATTCTTCACTGGTGAAATCCAGCTTTCTAAATGCTTAAACTGTTGTGAATTGATTTCATTGAACTACTTGATTGAGTATGTTGACCTGTGATCAACTATTTGCAGGATCAATTACTTAAACAGTGGTTGTATTTGAAATGCTCCTTTTGTAAATGAAATAAACTTTCAGCATCTGGCAGGATGACTACACATGAACTACTCAAACTGTGCCTGTGGCCATTTCAAGTACTTTCTCTGGTAACTTTTATCAATACACTATTCTGTTGCAGCAGTAGTTCTGCCTTAGTCATGTGCTTTTGAAATTTATTTTAACATGCATGCTTATAAACTGATTGCAAAAGAAGAAAGAGTGTATATTTACTGTCATCTGCTGTACGTTGTAGCTCCATGGCTCGGTTGAGAAGTTCTTCACTTTTACCTTTATGATAAATGATCTGAGTATCAATTCCAACTGCAGCCTACAAGTATGTTCCAAAAAAGAAAGTCAGAATAATACTTACCAAATGTTCCTCTTTATTGTGTTTAACTGTGGATAACATATTACTTCATATAAACGTAACTACAAAGTCACTGCAGTTTCATTTGCTTTGTTAACATTTAAGATTGGCAGCTGTATTAGAAAAAAAAAGTCTGAAAAGCAAATTTTTCTGTAGATTGCAATTAGAGTTGCAATGTATGCTTTTCCATACAACAACACTGAGTAACAAAGATGCAGAAAGCACAGAAGTCCTCTTGATTTGTCAACTCCAGTATAGTCAATATGATACTCGTGCTACATGTTAATTAGGCACTGTGACTGTTCATTTCTACTGTCATCTCAGATAGGTTATGAACACTTGCACCGTGTGGGGAGCTGCTTTGCAGTTCCCAGTAGCCTGCTGGAAGCAGAGGGCTGGACTTGAAATCCCACAGCTCCCTGGGTTTCCGGCCCCTATGATCTAGTGAAATCCTCTTGCTACTCCACTAAGAAATTGCTCTTAAGTAGCATGTAAATAGGTTGGAAACTATACACATACAAAATCACATATAAAATATTTTAGAACAGCAAGGCCAGAGACAAAATTACCATCCTCATCCCTTCATTGTGTATGTGAGAGGGCTATTTGCCCTATTTTAGCTTGACTTTCTATGAGAAACAGTGATGCTTCTGTTAGGTGTCTTGACCACCTTTTCTGCCACGTGGTGCTGTGCGGAGTAGGAGAACTCGAGTGCTAAATGCCAGCTCAGGTTCCTACAGGGCCAGGGGGTTCTCTGGACTTTCACAGAAACACCTCAGTTTGAGTGACAACACAGAGCAGCATCACCCTATACTTAGGGACAGAAGAACTTGCTGCATCTTTTCGAGTACAAAGGGACTTCAGGCTGGCAGCATAATTAACCACCTAGGTAATTCAGAAAGTTTTGGGCCCCTCGCTTTAAGAGAGATATTGAGCTCCTGGAGCGAGTCCAAAGAAGGGCGACTAAACTGGTCAAGGGGCTGGAAAATAAAACTTATGAGGAGCGGCTGAGGGAGTTGGGGCTGTTTAGCCTGGAGAAGAGGAGGCTGAGGGGAGACCTGATTACAGCCTACAAATACTTGAGAAAAGATGGTGGGGAGGTGGGGGAAGGGCTCTTTACATTAGTGTTGGGTGATAGAACAAGAGGAAATGGGTATAAGCTTAGTCAGGGGAGATTCAGGTTGGATGTTAGGAAGTATTTCTTCTCTGAAAGGGTTGTCAGCCACTGGAATAGGCTGCCCAGGGAGGTGGTTGAGTCCCCATCCCTGGATGTGTTTAAGAATAGGGTGGATGATCTACTTGAGGATATGGTTTAATGGGGATTAGGGATGGTTGGACTCGATGATCTCTAAGGTCTTTTCCAACCTAGAAATCTATGAATGAATGAATGAATGAATGAAAACGTGCAGTGAGAAGTTCGATGATGACAGTTAAACTAAATCTTGTTCCTTCTTTATACTTAGGTGTCTAAAGTCCCTGAAACATTGCAAAGCAAAAGCTGATATTATGCAAATTACTTACATCATTGACCTGGTTTGTTGTGTTCAGTGCCAGCAATGCAGCTTTATTAGCGTCTTCAATATAACCGGCAATGTTTTCATACACATTTGAAGCATTTATTGCCCTTTGAACCAACCCATTTGTATCAACACCATGCAAATTCCTGTTAAAAAGAGAGTAAAAGGAGGAAGAAACCAAACCAAATCAAAGTAGCTTCAAATGGATTAATTTTCTTAATATTCTGTGAATTCTGCCTACATAATAATGCATGTAAAAATACTTTGCCTAAGTAGTATTCTCTTCATTGTGTATACAATTTATGTCAGTCTGAACCAGGTGAAAACTATGTGGATAGAATGTACTTCCCACAGGTTCAACTCTGGGAATTTTCCTCTTGCTGTCTATGTGAGCATCAACAAGTGACTACTCCTTTTTAAGTCTAGATTAGATATTCCATAAATTAACAGGTAGGGATAACTCCTTGTGGTGAATGGAAAAACTTGTGCATGCCAGTAATCATACAGCTGTATCACTGGGTGGTTTATACTTTCCAAAAGTAGATGGGGAAAGGGGGAGGATCAGATGAAGAACTGCCCATGACCATGAAATTTTGCAAAAAGTTAGATTTCAGAACATTTCAGAAATACAAGATAGCTTTGCTGTCGTGGTAGAGCTTGATTTGCGTATTAGGCGACAGCTGTCCTTCAGGGGAGGTTCCAAACAGCAGTTGGTGTAGGACTCAACCTTCAGCTATTAGCAACTTTGAATAAATATTGGTTTTTATATTTTTATGATAAACATAATTCAGAGTATATGTTAGCTATAGACTGTCTCTCTCTATATATACACATGTATGTATTTACTTCAAAGAGTTTGCACACTGAGGGCTTATTAAGTTTCCCGATTCAGTGTTGCAAGAATTTCCTGCTATATTCCCCCAAGACAAAAGAAGAAACTCTACTGAATAAAAGCCTAACAGGCTTATAAAGCAAGCCCATAAAACCCAAAATTATTTGAAGATAGGCTGAATTCTTTAAATTATTAAAGTTTCTCTGCAGAACAATCTTCTCAACAAGTAAAAGAGTCAGCACATTTCCATCTGGATATTTTGTAATTATTTCTGTTTGCTTTCTATTAAATTCCTAATGTGTTGGACGTGGTAGTCTTTTACAAATTATTTTGGTGAGGGATGAAGGCTAGCCATATGGGGTATTTTCTTTCAAGTGATTCTGCTGCCCCCAGTTAGCTCATCTCAGACTGAACATATTTGGTTTTTAGGCTGTCTGTAGTTTGTGTGGCGTTATAGAACAGAGTTTCAGATGTTAGCTTTATACAATTGCACCAAAGAAAACCATCTGTTATTTTTTTCTCTGTTTTAATCTCCTATCTAGGGCACAGTAATATTAAGAAACAACTGGTATTTCAGTAATATATTTGAAGAGTAGTTTTAATTTTATCTTCCAAAAGCATATGTCCATGATGTTACTTAAAGTAGAATTCGGTGAAACATTTTATTTAAGAATTCATTTGAGGCAGTGATTTTTCCATGGGTAGTCCCAGTTGCAAATGAAGTCATATTTCAAATCTGTCTAAAAGTGGCTTTTTAGTAAATTGGAGGAAAGTTGATGCATTTAGTATCTTTCAGCAAACTAGGAAGACTTACAGTATGTTTTTGGTGTTACAGTGGGCCAGTTTCACTGGGACACAACCTATTGAGCATCAGAACTACTCCATCTGTAAACCAGTTCTCGAACAAAGATTATCTCAAAGCTCATTTTTTGGCCCATAACGCTAAATGTTTTTTAATGTGGATGAACTTACTGACACAAGCTGCTTTTGCAAACCCCATTTAATCTGCCTGTATTATTTTATTTTTCAGTAATCTACGTTTCCTATTCTCTTGCTATGGGAAGGGAAGAACATGCCAAATTAGAAAGGGGAGAATGTCACACAAGGTATATGTTTGTTTATTCTTTGAAAAGATTAATAGATTTTGCTTAGCTCAACTTCAGCTGTTCCCTCTGGACCTTCAAGTCCTTCCATACATGACTTAACAGTGGTTCGTTTAGTGCCTGTTTACAGACAGCCGTATCTAATGTCGCTGTGTTTCTGCTTGTCTTTTAGTTCATTCAGCTGCTCTATCAGTAGCACTTGTATGAACAGAGTCTGCTGAAGTTAAATTTTACCTGTCCAGCTCATCAGCAAGTCTTCTTAGATTGTGTGCATGATGCATAGCCTTTTCCACCAAATCATCATCAAACAGAGACAGATTGGCTCGTTTTTCTTGCAGTTCTTTTTTCGCTCCATCTATTTCTGCGTAGAACCCTGACACATTCTGAACAAAATATGGAAGGATGGAAAGAAGATGAAAGTTTAAAAAAATCAAGTCTGTATTTTGATTATTATGTTTTATTTTACCTTTTATATTATTATAATGTTGTTGGTTTATGTTATATTTGTTTGATGATCAATTTTTAACAGATATAAAAGAGGAAAGATCAAAAAGAGTCTGTCTTATGAATGTTAGTACAGCAAGACAAATGCGGGAAGATAAAAATAAACCAAAATTCCAGGAATCCCTTAAAAAGATATTAGAGAGATATGTGTAAAATACAAAAAAAAAAGACAGTTGAGAAATGTCTTACTCTCCTTTATGTTTGCTCCAGAATGGTGCCAATGACAAGTCTTTCAGAGTGAAATGCTAATAGGTGAAGTAACTAAACCAGCTCTTTGCGAAAACCCTCTATATGTAAACTTATTCCCAGGAATGAGAGATCCAAAATGATAAACCGCAGCAATTTGTTTTGCACAAAGCACAGGAGAAAAAAAAACACATACTGCTTGATAACCAAAGGATGATTATAAAGCAAACTGTCTTTCTGTTTTCTCAAATTACTTTTACAAAGAAAAATGAATGATTTTTGATATTTACTTTTGTGTTAAAAATAGAAGCAACTATGGCCAAGATAAATGTTTTTGGAGATTTTTCATTTGTCTTAAATGATCTCAGAATTTTAAAATAAAAGATGAAAAAAAAAAAGCTTTGGTAAAATGGCAAATGTTTTAGTTAGCAAAATCCCAGTTTTATTTTCTTCATTTTTTCATATAAAGTCCAAAACCTGTGGAAATGTTTAATCTTCTAAATATTTCCTACAACTCCTTGTCTCATTCAAAACACTGGATACTAGTCTACAGTTCCAGAAGAGCATTTCTGTAAGACAATGTGTTTGTATATGTTTTACACGCTGACAGCGACTAGTTGTAACGCTAATATCTGGGATCTTTAGCCTTCTCCTATGGTCACTTGCAGGCATGAGAAAGGAATTTAGCATATAGTACAGTCTGTTACCAGAGCTTCTTTTGGCAGCTGCTTGTAATCAAGTGATTGAGAAATCTGCAGCAAAATCCTGCATTCAGCTGTGTCTACGGTAATGTGTCCTTATAATTATTTTCCTGAGGCAGTAAAATGTAACTACACGGCTTTTCATCCAGGAAAATTTATACATTTTTTAGGGAATATTCACCAGCATTTAATTGAAGCAGTATAAAAAAAGAGAGGCTTTTATTTAACTGTCTAAACACATGACTTTTTAAAACTTCAAGAAATCAGGACATATCATTTAAACAAGTCACTGAGGCACCTACCTTTATTACCTCACTCAACTCAGAGTTGACCTGTTGTGGTTCCACCAAAAGAGTTGTGGCACTTAGCAGAATGCCGTTCACTTCATCTATTTGCTCATTTATTTTCTCATGTTGTTTCTAAAAAAAAAAAAATAATATCACATCCAAACACTAGATTTTTTAGTGAATTGATAAAATACAGTGTTGCCATTTTTGTCATGTCATTAAGAGTTTATTCAAAAGAGGAAATGATAAACTACATACATTTTAGACAGATTTGAAGTCTTAAGTTTTTTCCCAGACATCTTCAATAGCTGCATATTATAATGTGACTCCTTGCATTTTCTTGTCTTTGTGAAAGAAACATGTTTTTTATTTCTATTAATTAATTTCATTTTATATTACAGGATGAGCAATTATTGGAATGAAGCATTATTCAATGCACTGCCAGCAGAGACAAATTAAACACGGATTTTTCATAGTGGTCTGGAGACTATTTTTTTCTGGAAATTTTTTAAATATACAATACAGAGATCTCTTTTCCTTGTCAATAGGAAAGCTAACATGAACAATCTCTTTTTTACAACATCTGCCTTCATTGTGAGGAATAATGAAGATCCATCTGGTTAAAAACTGTGAACAATTGCAAATACACACTTCAGGTTTTTCTTCATAAATATGAGACGAGCTGCAGCTTGGCACTGTAATTATGAAACAATGGAACAACAGAAGAGGCTTTGTACTAAAGGATCCCAAGCTGCTTGTAGAAGAATTCATAAGAACAGCATGCCTGCTTTCTCTGTTGAATTATTACACCTTCCACATGAGCATGAACTTCCAGCACTGCAGATTTCAAGAGCTCAAAACTCAGCCACTGATGCTATGAAACCCAGAGGTTGGCCTGAATTTGCAAGATCGTTCTTCAGATCGCAAGATTGTTCTTCAGATCACAAGATTGCTCCCTAACCCCTGTCCTCCAGACTCGAAACAATTTCAGCCATTGAAATGAAAACAGTTCACTTCAAATGGTCCTAAATTGTTCTCCTTGTCATTTCTTCCTTGCTGAAAAAGTACATGAAGAGAAAAATTTTAGGTGAAACATTCTGGTTTTACATTCCTTAATGGAAACCGAAGAAAACAGAGAAAGAGTCACAAAACTACTGGGAGGAGAAAAAACAGTCTTTTGTATGGCTGATGGATTAGGTACTTTTCTGGGATAAGAGACCTGAAAATTCAATTTCCTCATCAGCCAGATGGGATTTGAACCTAATACTACCACTTACAGGCAAACATGCTCCCCTTCCATGCTGTAGGGGACAGGTCTCCTCTGAGCTCTCCACTGGAGTGATTACTTTGCTCAAAATACTGAAACTATTCATTTGAACGGAGCATAAGGGAAAACTGCTGTAGCCTTATAGCTAGGCTGTTAACCTAGCAAGTCAGAAACCCAGTTTCAAAATATCTGTTGGGGAGCGGTTATAGAATGGATTTGTGCTTGATGATGCGAGGACAATCATCTGCTCTTCCTGAAAAAATGAGGATGCGTTTTGTACAAAGAGGACCAGAGACAAAGTTTAGATGAGACGGTATGAATGCACATAGACCTGGGCATGAATGAAGTGCAGAGTCTTTATAAATAATTGTTTTAATAGAATATAATTACTTTTGTGAGCTTGAAGTCCTTCTACATTATAAATCAGTACATAATAGGTGGAACAATCCCACCATGACATTTATAGCAGTACATAGACTTTTAAGTTGCTTGGGTTTTGTTGTAATACGTCTTCCTAGTTCAGGCATTAGTATCCATCTCTTCCTTGGCCTGCTGAGACTTGGCATTTATTGTCACTCCAGGAATAAATAATAGTACCTTGCACTTCCACAACTTGTATCTCAGAACTGCAGAGTCAAACTCATCCTACTGAGTGGTTCAAGAGATTCTTCTTTGGTGTAGTGGTTCCTGAATCTAAATTGTTTGCAATCCACTGTTTTAAGCACTGGCAGAGATGGAGCGTTTACAGACAGCAGTTATGATAAATGTAGTGTATAATACCTCACGCTTTTGAAGATTGGCTGTGTTTTCCTTATTTATATCCTCTGTTTGTATAACATAGTCAAACGCCTGGTTTAATGCCTCCTCCAGGTCTGACAGCTTCACATTCTGCTCGCTGAGCTGCTCCAGAACATCAGATACTAGAGATCTGGTGTCATTGTACCGCTCGTGAAACTCTTCAACTTGCTGTAGCACTGGGAGAAAAATCAGAGGCCACTGATTAATCCGAAGGTTGGATTTCTGACAAAACTTTCCTACACAACAATTTGTGTTGCTGTTTCTCAGGAGACCATAAAACACATTTGTTAAAAGCTCACTTGAGAGATGATATGCCTAGATTTTAATTTTCCCTCCTCTTTTGAAAAGAAGAGATGACTCTCATTTTAGTATCTCATTTTAACCCCATTGATTTCCCCTCTCAAGTAGCTTTTCCCAAAAGAAACTAGGTTTGGCTTTCCTTGCTCTTCATTTGTTTTTCATTGTCACAGCTGACCAGGCTACCTCGGAGAAGACAGTCCTTATTGTCCCAGGGCTCTGACTCATGTTCACCGAGTTGTGAGAATTAAGCTGCCGCTCTTTCCCATACCAGCATTTTTTCTCTCTGCTGGAGTTTACTGTCCCCATGACAGATCTGGCAGGGAGGAAAGAAGATATTCACGTGAGCAATTCCAGCCCTAGCATGAACCTTTCTAAGCAGCTATTGCTGAGGTGCTGTACTGCACAGGCACACACAGACACACGCACGTTTTTCTGCCTATTCTGCTACAGGGGCAGCAAGCACCAGCAGAGACTTGGGGCAGGCATTTGGAAGCAGCAGCATGTTCAGCACACCAGTGGGTGCTTGCCAAGTGCCTGCTGGTCCACCCCAGGGGCTCAGCAGTACATCCAGAGCTGCCTTGTCCGTGCCAGCTGCGCATCAACATGTGGGTGAATGGAAAACAGATTTAAAACTCACACTCCTCTGCTGCGTTTTCCTCCTCATCTGCAAGTTGCCTCTGATTAGTGAAAGGCTTACGGCGTTTGATCTCCTTCAGCATCTCCTCAGCCACACTCAGCTTCTGGGCAATTTCTTCAGGGCTCAGCTCTTGTTGAATTGCATAGTATTTCATCTTGCTGCTGATTTCTGTGGGAAAAAGGAACAGATGGTCAATTCAGCATGGCTACAAAGAAGTGAACACTGTAGAGTACTTTTACTTTTGTGAATCCAGATCATGCTGATGACAGAAGAAAATTTTAATTATCTTTCAACTCTATAGTAGATAATTATTATGTTTAATCCAGTCTTAAAATTAAACTTGTAAATATATCACACTTTGTGGCCTGTGTGGGAGTCTCATGAGAAGAGGATGAGATTAAGCAGGCATGGGTTGTGTGTATTATTTGGCTTGGCAGTTCTTGTAGACTAGGATCATCATTTTATTCTGAGTTTTGTGGCATGTAGAAGGCTGGGGCTTTTGTCCAGAGTCGTGGTTTTTAAGTGCCGTGCAAAAATGTTATGTTCATTAAATAGCAACAACAGCAAGGAGACTGAAGTAACCTTTTTTTCCATCTGAAGAAGTTTGAGGCACCCTGAAGAGGTAACATATGGCTCCTGGCCTGATACCGCCTAGCTGGTTTGGATATAGATACTATTTCAAGGTTTTGGTCTCAGTTCAAAAAATACTGTTGGACCCCTGCAGCTGAAAGGGAGTTTACCCATTCCCAATGTAGGCATTACACAGTTTACCCACTCCTCACTCCCTGGCCTCGAGAACCGCCTCCTCTTTTATGCCTTTGGCTTACGTTCGTCACTACTTTTGTGGATAACCAGAGCCGGCAAAGCCAGCTCTGTGCATCTGTAAGATTTTTATAAAAAATAGATGTGTCATTGTGGCACAACTAATTCTTTGGCAGAGTGTCTTTGTATGCAGTTTCTTGCTGGCTCCTGAGCTCATTAGTGAAGCTTTAAAGTCTCATACTGAGCAGTAACCGATCACCAGCAGTAGCTCCATGGATTTATTTTTCCTTCTCATGCTGGCACACGCATGTGCATGTGTGCACACATACACCTTCCCTTCAGTAGAGAGTGGCTTGCCTTCTACAGGTGGTGATGCCCCTGTAGAAAACTACTTTTGAGCATGGTGGAAAAAATTTTCACCCACTTGTCTCCAACTGCTTTCTGGGTGAAGAAGCGCTCTCTTTTTATTCACAGCTCTAAGTGTGGCTTCTTCTATGTTAGTTCAACCTGATTGTGCTATTTGTGCACCAAACTAGATACATTTCTGCCTTCTGTCCTTCCTTTTCCTTCCCCTTCCCAAAACCAATTAATAATGCAAAAGGACTATCCCCAGAGGTCAGTCAGTGATTGTTGATGACATAGAATGAGGCTTATGCTGGCACTTTTGCTCAATAATTGTAGAAATAAGATGAGACGGATGGCCAGAGTCAAAGGTGATCTAGCATCACAGGTGTAAGAAGGTAGTACCAATGTAGCATCCTGCGTCTTCTGTGTGATACCATAAGTTAAGTATGTTTGTTGAAACAAAGTAATGGTTGAAGCACCCATGTTCAACCAAGCATCCATGCTTATGCTTCAAGTTAAGTTGATATGAAACCACTCTTCCTCACAGAACTTACCATTGAGCTTGCAGTAATTGCTCTAAGACAGAACTGCTCAGATCTGTTAATAAAGTACTTCCATTAATTGAAAAAGGGCTGTTTAACCTCAACTGCCGGTCAGCCTTTCTGTTCTGGAGCCATATGCTTACACTGTTGGCTTTGTCAAAGACTGGGAAAAATCAATGTGCTCTATGGCAGGATGGAGACTGTCATGATGCAGGTGTAGAGGGGACAGATGCTTCTGAGAATGTTCACTTGGGGTTTTATTGCTTTCTGTAGGTACAGAGGAAGAGGCTGCAATTGGTTTAATCTCAGTTTTATGTATCAGCATGATAATGATATCTCATAGATATTCCAGATGAAGGTAATAATCTCTGACTAGGAAACCTTTTTTAAGAGCAGTTGTGCTTGAGAAGGTGCTCACTGTTGTCATTTATCCTTTGATATATAGTACAATAAAAATTCTTGAAGATACAGGAGGTTTAACAGGCTCTAAATAAAAAAAAATCTTCATCTGTGAAGGTGTAAAATACATACATTTACAGTCAGAAGAGAAGTTACGTTTTGAAATTTATGCTAGTTCCGGAGATGCTTTTATTTCTCTAGTATGTTGCCCAAAGATCAACTTAATAGGTTTTGTCTGCATCCCCTGGATGCATCATATGGACAGAGGAGCAAGACACTGAGAAAAAATGTTACAGTTTGTCTCACCATTTTAACATAAAAAGCTCTTGGTTTCACTCTTTTCCTAATTTTGAGAGATCATCATCATCATATTTACCTCTCCTGCTGTGAATCAGCATCACTATAGCCATTTCTGATGGTCTATGCTAGCCACATGGTTTACAGTTCTGCCTTTCACTTTTACTGAAGGCCACACTTTCTTTGTGGGAAAAAAAAAAGGCAATGAAAATGCAGTTTTCCAATTCTTCTATATTTCAGAAAAAAAAAGGACAAGATAACAACAGCTAATCTATAATGCTCTGTAGATGTATCAAGACCCAAACTCAGTTGGAAATTCTGTTCAGATGAAGCAATCTTCTCTTGAGGAGAAGATCACCACCATCTCCCACGCTGAGCTTGAGGAAACAGTAAATTAATGGATTTACTATTCAACATCCTTTTCTTTTTAAAAGCATCTACGTGAAGTTGTATGAACCAGCAAAATCCTACTCAGCAACAGTTTGCTAAAAGGCAAAAGTTGGATTTAAAGTAATACTCACTAGTGGGATCACCAGAGTTGGTTGGACCTGACTGCCATGAGTTCGAAAAGGAAAGCATAATTAAAAAAAAAAATCTGTCTAGCTATTCATTACGTATCAGCAGGATGGAAAAAGTGCATTTGCATGACTCTGCTGACAAGTAAGACGTGGAGCACTCATCTCCCATCCTATGCTTGTGTTTGTGGCTTCATCCAGCACCAATCTGATACTCTTTTTTTTTTTTTTTTTTTACCACAAGTATATACAAATACTTGTGGCTTGAGGCACATTACTTGACTAGCTCAAGGCAGCAATTCAAACAAACCTATTTATTATTATTTTGCTCTGTCAAAGAGAGAAAAAAGAAAGAGAAGCTCTTGTTGTGGGTGTCAGACGAAGTCAGCCTGTGGTGTCAGCTGTCTTTTAAGAAGCGACAACTTTTCATCATGACATGCAGGCTGCAAAAGCCTTATGTGTGGGTTGCTTTGCGAGAGTGCCCAGGTGCTATGGCATTTTTTTTTGTTGGAGGTTTCATTAATACATGGTTGACGTTGTGCTGAACCAGAAAGGAATCTATTTACCTTGAATGTTATCCCTCATATTACTGAGCTGCTGAACAAGCTGAGTAGCACGGTTGTTGGTCTCCATGGTTTCCTTCTGTACCAGTAGGCCTTTGCTGGATACTTCATTTCCCTATGAATAAATCATGTGAGCTAGACATTAGATTTCTTTTCAGATCCATATGTATGTATGAGGATGAGCAGTGTAAACACACATTTTGCTTTCTCCTGATGAGCATGTGAAAGTCCGTTTATCATATAAAGTGGTGTTTACAGAGGTGTTTGAAGTGAAGGGCTGTCTTGTCAGTATTTTCAGAATTGCAGAGTGAGAGACCAAAATCTGTCCCATATTCATCTATCATTTGCTGCAATCAAATTGCCATAAATTATGTACAGTTCTAAAACTCCCATCTGCTGAGTCTCCTAGGCATTCAAAGGGGCTGGCTCGTTTTGCTGGGTATGGCATTTCCTGAGTAAGCATATAGGCTGAAGAATAAGGTGTCAAGTTCACAACCATTTTTAGATCAGTGTCTCCCTCAAGTGAGGTCCCCAGCTCTGCAGCTTGTTAAAATTAAGAAAAAGCATGAAGATTCAAAACGCTCTGAAAAGCATACGCACACTCCTACGCTACATTACGTTGGAGGCTGTACTCTGGACCGTGTGTGTGTGTGTGTGTGTGTGTGCGTGCATGTGTAAGTCCACACCACACGCTTGCCAGTGGTAAGGTGTTTGGTTCACGGTCCCCCTTGGGGCTGCAGCAGCAAAAATTCCCACTGTGAAATTAGTTTCTGGGTTTGGGGTGCCCTGACATGTCGTAAGCCAGAAGATACGTGGCTGTTGGTGTAGCTAGCGTCATGCTTGCTTCATCTGCAGGAGCCGCAGCGGACTCTGCTGCCGCCCTCCAGCCCTGCCGAGCTCAGTTGTGCGTTGGCTGCAGGTCCGATGCCAGCAGCGGCCATGACCCTCAAACACAGTTTTTACTCAGGGTTTCCAGAGGCACCCAGGTGGTGCTTGAAGGCAGGGCCAGGGCAGTGACACAGTGAATATGGATGGGCACCCAAATAAAATAAATGTAAGGGTTTATAGAAAGGTTTTAATTTTATTTCTATGTACATAGGGTTTTTTTTTTTAGCCTTTGAAGGCCAAGCACTATGTGTTCTATTCATGTTCCTTTATTGCTATCAGAGTTTCTTGGGAATGCTCTTTTGCTCAGCATTGCCACTTCATGCTTATTTTAAACAACTTGTTATTGTTTTTATGCACACTTGCCTTTACATAATATTCTTTCCTCTCCAGATTTCTTTCTTTAACTATGGAACACGCGAGGAATTGCTGAGCCAGGTTTGGTGATTACCATGAGATTGATGGGAAACACAGCAGCATGAGTGAGGGATGCTCTTAGAGACTCTCAGGTTCCCCCTAATGTGCAGAGACTCATCCTGAAATTTCCCAAGAGCCCAGGAAGGAAAGGTGCTTGGTTCCTCCAAGCCTCTGCCAAATATTCAAGATCAAGCTATGTGCTGTTTTGCTCTAAGCTTGCCCCAAGCAGACTTGGAGAGTTACAGTTCACATTTACTGTTCTCATTTAGCAGAAGGATTTGCCTACAGTTGATGTATTCATTCTGCCTTTGGGGTTTAGATCAGAATCTGCAGTGACCCCTCAGACTGGAGGACGTACATGTGAAATGCTTTAAATGGAAGATGCAGCGCATCTCTGAAAAACCCACTCAAGGCCCAAGCACCCTTTTTTCCATAAAAGTGCCTTGAAAGATCAAAAGATTCAGTATATTCAGAATTATTATTGTGCTCTTCCTTCCACTGTGAAATTCTGGGGTCATTATTTCCCTGCTTTTACAAGCCATCACAAGTATTCATGGGGAACAAGCATTAGAAATAACCACAGGAAATGCTGAATTTATTCGTTCAGGGACAGTCAAACTGAGGAATGAGCTAAGAAATCACCAGGTAGTACTGAAGATGACAAAAATGTTATTATCCAAATTCACTAAATATTCCTAGAAAACCTAATGCTTTAATCATCCTGCCTACAAACTACATAGAGGGACACTGAGGTGTGTGAGCACTGCTGGATTTTCGCAAGTACAGGGGTGTGTGTGTGTGTTTGTAAACTGATTTAATCAAACCTCTCGTGAACACAGGCATAGTCTGCATAATCCTGCAGTGCCCTTTCTTACTTAATCAGTAAGTACTGATTAAAGACACCCAAACCCAAATTTTCTTTTCCATCCTTTATATAGTCTTTTCTCCTCTTCCTTTGTGTTTTTTCTCCTACTTGCTCCTGTATTTGAATTTTAGTCTAAGGTATAATCTTAATTTGTCTTGTGAGGGAACTGGTAAGTGAATATAAGGTCTGGCATTTTGCAATAAACATGAAATATGCTCTAGTCATACTACAGCTGTGGTTATCTCTGGGAATAACAGAGAGTGATGTATCTCACTAATATATGTATATTTTAGCAGCAGAAATATGTTTAATAGTATCTCTTTAAAATAGAGGAGAAGCAATTTTGAACCCTATTTCTTCTCTTAAAATATATCAATATTCTTCTAGGGTGCAGTGAAAGTGTTATGTGAGCTGAGAGCAGACAACCTTAATTTTATAGCCTGGCAATTGAATATGGATGCAACATTTATGATCATGATTGTGTTAAAACATATCTTGAGTGCTGATCAGGCTCTCATCTCAGTGGGTAGGTGAAAAACCTTTTAAACTGGCAGTTTTGTAACATATTTTGAAGTGTCTACTTGGGGCTAATTTAATTTTATGAGAGCATACATGTAAAATAGGTATAGTACAAATACTCCCAAAGTCAATCTGAATTAGTTTAGTGTTGGTTACTTTGTTTAATTAGAGATCAAAATGTGAAATAGAAAGACAGCATGTCTATCCCAGATCAAACGTATTGTGTAGGAGGGTAGGTGGGAACTCAGATCCTGAGGGAAGGCCTTTTGTGATCAGTGACAAACCTCCAACCACATTCAACAGACTTTGGCTTCATCCATGCTTTTCTGGGAAAAAGACTTGGGAGGTCATTTACACTTTTAATTCAGAGCTAAAGTAAAGGAGGAAGTTTAGAATTAGAAAACAGGATTAGAATCAGAAAACAGAATTAGAATTAGAAAACAGAAAGTTTTCCCAGCTATCTTTCGTGGCATTCCCACTCTTATTTGGTGAACCTAGAGGTTCAGACTAGATGTTAGGAAACATTTCTTTACCAAGAGGGAGGTCAAACACTGGAACAGGCTTCCTAGACAGGTGGTTGATGCCCCACGCTTGTCAGTTTATAAGAGGCATTTGGACAGTGCCCTTAACAACATGCTTTAACTTTTGGTTGGCCCTGAAGTGGTCAGGCAGCTGGACTAAACGATAGTTGTACATCCTTTCCAACTGGAACTATTCTATACGAACCTGTTATGCTGGCATGCAAATATAACAAACTGCAAACCCTCAGAGCTCTGGCAACAAGCTATAAACAAACCTGTTCATCAAGTGTTGCTGCCTCTCTCAGGAGATCATTCATTTCATCTGCAGCATCATCGACCTGGATGGTCCAAAGCTCAGCGTGATTCTTTTTTTTGGACATTGCTGCCTGTGTGTATGTGAAAAAAAGTCAGTGCATCTATAAACAAATTCTCTAGTGAGAGCAGGGATCTACAAGAATGGGGTGGAAATTCATAGATTAAAATTACATTAAAAAATAAAATGTCATCAATGTTTGTACCTGGAGATGGGTGGCAGTGAGGTTGAGGTCATTCAAGCGCTTTTGAGCTGCAACACCTGTGGAAATGCTCAGTAAAGTTGATTTGCTTTCGTCAATAGCCAGGACTGCTAATCGGATGTCATCTGTCAAATCCCAAATACATTTATCGCAGCCTGATAAGAAAATAAGAGTGTCATTTTTCTTTAGAGTTTGTGTCAGCGAACAGCAAATATCTTAAATTCACTTTATAGTGCTCTTGCCCCATGGCATTCCCTCTCCTTGTCATTGGCGGATCCTGCCGGATACCCATTTTTCTTTCACTTTCCTCTGCCAACATCCATGTCCCACAGTACAGTCATGATGCTTGCAGCTGAGCAGCACCAGATGGGACTGCTCTGAGAGGCTGCCACAGTGGCTCTGTAATCAGTGAGGGGAGAGAGAGAGGAGATATTTCCTGGCTATTCCCTAGAGGCTCTGCATGTTTGTTGCCCAGAGAACAGCAGATTAGGGTCAAAAAAACTTCATTTTGTCAGAATTCAGAACTCTGTATTTAAAATTCGATGGTATGAGAAGTAAGGATGTCCAGCAGATGGAGTCTTGGCTGCCTATTTGAATAGGAAAGGAACTTCTGAATACACAGTTATAACATATTTGGAATATGCTTGCAGAGAACTATAGCCTTGTCCCTGCTGGATACTTGCAATAATATGGCATCAGATCATTATTAGCCAGCTGGACTGAGTTAAAGATAATGAATTAACTAATTAACTAACTCAAGGTACCGATCCTGCCTACAAGAGGCAGGCCATTTCCTCCTGGCTGTGGAGGATGCAACAGTGTCCTTGGTGCTGCAGCCCAGGCTGGTGAGCAATAACTGGTGACCCTGACGTGATACATCCATGAGACCCTGGGAAGCCCCGACTCCCTCGTTGGAGCCGAGAGCCCGAGCCGAGCCTGAGCCAAAAGAGTTGGAGCTGGGAGCCTGAGCAAGAGTCCTTCAGAGAAGAAGGTAAAGCTGCAAGCCCCAACATGGTATTTGTGGGAGGGAAGTGTGCTGGAGTTGGATGAATGGACCGGGTCTCTGCTCACCTTAAAGCCTTTGTGAAAACAAAAAATGGTAAAACAAAAAGGGGGAATTATGGCACCAATGATTATTAGCCAGCTGGACTGAGTTAAAGATAATGAAACTAATTAACTCAAGGTACCGACCCTGCCTACAAGAGGCAGGCCATTTCCTCCTGACTGCGGAAGATGCAACAGCGTCCTTGGTGCCGCAGCCCAGGCTGGTGAGCAACACGATAACACCGTGTTTTTAGTGACATTGGTACCACCATGAAATGCAAGAGACTTAGGTGAATGTGAAACAGATTCCTACAGAAACTTTTGCTTGGTATTGTATCATCTGTGTTCTTGATGGCAGCAGATCCCCTATGTTTTCCTTCTGGTTGTACTTCCAGGCACACAACCCCTCTTCTTGGGAGTCGGTTTAGGAACCCATATGTGCTACACTGTCTGCGTTATATCACAGGCATAGTTATACTAACATTTAAAGAAATATAAGTGGTTACCAAAAGTTACAACATAGTGCTTTTGGAAACTCCCTAGTTTTCCTGTCATTAGAATAGGGGAAATGATAGTAGAAAAGCAACTGACTGATGTATGTATGTCAAATTGTCAACAGCAACAATTTATATGAGATGTGCAAGCAGACACTCAGTCAAGCAAATGAGAACATGCTTAAGTACTCAGTCAGCAGGGCATTGTGCATATTCATGTGTTTAAGTGCCCTGTGGGACCAAGGTCAAAGTGCTGAGCCCACTAAAGAACCGAGCTCTTAAGTTAGTCTTTGTAAGCATCTAAATACAAGACCAATATTAATTTTTGTTTTTCTCATGATAATCTTACTGATGGTTGGGCAGTCTGTGCCAGTAGAAACTTCAGGACTGTCTGCAAGGCATTCTCCAGTCTGGCTGTCACACATTCTCCCTCCGCAGTTACATTCTGGGGGAAAAAGAAAGGATTTTTGAAAGAATCTTCAAAATTTACAACCCACCTTTCCCCTCCCAAGACTAGTGAAATGATTGTAGATAAGATTGTGCATGGATAGTCAAACCAAAGTCTCGGGCTTCTTGGACTGATTTTTCCTTCAGCATGTAGAAAAAGGTGTTCTTTGCACTGTGGTCAAATTGGACCAGATAAGACATGAGATGGGAAGCAGAACCAGAAAGCCTGTGCTGAAGCGGCTTGTTCAAAGCTTCCCAGCTGGTCACAAGCAGCGAGGCCAGAGTTGCCCAGCTGGGCCATTGTGCATCACTGTCTAGAGAGGGTGGCATTTAGGAGATGGGCTAAGGAAAGCAGTACAACTAAAGTTAATTATTAGTTACAAATCTCTCCATAGGCCTGTGGAATTTATCAACGCTGTGTCAGGCTGCCACTAAATAAGCTTTCCAGCTAAAAGGAATTGATAGTGAACTCCAATTCCATCATCAGCTTGAGCATATCAAAAAGTAAATATCTCCTACCACTTAGAATGAAGAATAAATGAGCTTTTACATTTTTTAAAACTTGAGTAAGCTACATATTTATTGCCAGCACAAGTGGCTTTTCAAAAAGTATAATTTTTAATCTAAAGTGTCTCCTTCAAGGTTTAATTGGCCTTTTAAAATGTATCATTTTAAAGATTAAAATATTCTTGGAACACTTTGCTAGAATAACAAAAACTCAAGCAGATCATAAGAACAGCAGCAACTTATCTGGAATTCGTTTTGCTCTTGTGATTCATGGTTTCAGCAGAATCTCATATAACAAATTTGTTTACTGCCGTTTTATTGCAGCCCATTCATTGTTCTCTATGAATTACCCTTGTATTTACATTCCACATTGCACTTTCAAAGAATTATCAGGGAAAATGTGTAATACAGCTTCAAAGTCAACATGATGCACTAACATTGGTATAATTCTGTGTAACTGAACCAGTGTTAGTGGAACTACGCAGTTTTTGTACCACTGTGAGAACAGAATTTGGTTATGAATTTTGTGGGGCAATTGATATTTTGACCTCGCCACAATTTGTCTGAACTGGGTGTCTCCCAGCTCTCGGATCCACAATTTTTTAATTTTTTATTTCTTTTGTTAAGAAGTGAAAGAAAAATCTCACTTGAAAGCAGAGATTTCTCTTTACTTATATCGCAGGTTCTAGGCGATCCCCAAAACAGGTGGCAAGATTTCAATTACAAGATTAAAATTTGTATGAGATTGAAGAAAATCAAATGGTATATTCTTATTTGAATAAGAATAACTCCTAGTTTGTTACGCAAATGCTTATAGTAAATAATTTCAAAAACAGTGCTGACAATTTTTCATCTATTTGTTTAGGAGGTACCACATTTTCAGTAAGGAATTAAGACTTTCAATGCTACTGTGGCTTACTGGTGGAGAAAGCTTCTAAATTTACCTTTATTTCTGAGAGTCATTTGTGGAAAGCTCTGAGGTGTGGCTAAAGGACACATGGTTAAAAAATTTATTGAAAAGAAGCTGAAAACTGCTATCCACAGCTACACAGATTTTGTCTTTTGCTCAAAAGTAAAAAAGATGATCTTAACTGAATATAGCTGTTTGCTCATTTAGTTCTCTTGCATTTTTTTGTCCTATATACTCTTTGAGGTGCTCTGTGGAAACCATGTACACAGACTCTCTTGTTTCTTACACTAGTTTCTTTACTGTATTTTTGTATTTTAAAGAAGATATTTTTCTCATTTCAGAATCAATGTTTTTCTAAATAAGAGTTCCTAATTGCTAAAAAATGCCAAACAAAGTATAAGCTTGTCTTGTAAACTAACCAAACAGTTTGGATATCATGGATGTATCGAGTGGTGCAGGCAATCTATGCAGTACTGCCAAGTACAGCATGTTGTGGTGTTTAGCAGAAACAAAGATGAAATGAGAAATGTGTAATTCTCTGAAATATAATACTTCAAAATCAGGATTTGCTAGAGTTAACTACAAGATTAAATTCACTCCTATATAGAGAAATGCTGTACCTCTCCCAACATTTTCAAGTGTGCAGACACATTTTATTTTTAGCAAAGATCAAACACTACAAGGAAATCTGCTAATGAAGAGAATTACCAAGCTGATTTATAGTCTGCACGAAAAGTCTGTGTAGAGAAGTCTTGCACACCATGAAATCTCACTTAAACTGTGCCTCAGAAATGTAGATAATTCTGAGGCATTCTGCCTCTAATTCCTGCAACTCCTTAAGGGTGCAACCCAAAGGTATACTGAGGTGATGAAAGTGTGACTTAACTTTAGTTTAGAAACTCTATGTTCAGAGATGCCTTCCAAAATTATGTCTTGCATAATCTGCTTAGACACTTGGAATGCCCTGTAATCCTCAGACTTCTGGCAAAGCTACTTTTAGCTATTTGAAGCTCTGATTTTGCACATGGCCAGAGCAGTATTGCTGCGGCTTGCTGAGTTGAAGTGCTGGGTGCGTTTCTCCTGTCTCACGGCATTCAGGACCCACAAACTAGATCCTGTCATTCTTTATGGAAGAGCTGCAGTTAAATCATCTCTGGTGAACTGAATTAGACAGTGAAAGGCATAAACAAAGTTTGCTTTCGCAACTTTGAAAATCAGAGAGATGTTGAATTTCAGGCATATCTTGGGTGCCTGAATGCAGGCAGGAGGTGAGTTTTGGGACATGCTGTTCCCTACAGCCTCTGTCTTTTTGGCTGATTCAGATACCTGAGATGGACTTTTAGGATTACTGTGTGTAGGCACCATCTCTCCCCATTCAGCATAAATGGAATTTAAGCATGTGACTTAGTGATCTGAATCACATCCTGAAGATGAACACTCAACTTCTAGCTGCCACTGGAACATAAAAGCAGAAGGGACCACTAGTGGCATCATACGTGGTCCTCTATAAATGAAGACAGCAGCACAAAGGGCACTGGAATACAGAGCATCCTCACAACCTCCATCCTGTGGGTCTCAAAACACGCCTTAGCACTTTATAGTAAGCTGGTAAAATGCAGAGTTCAAGTGTACAGTGAGTTGCAAGAACGACGTAGGTTGATCAAGACATTGCTAATGTCCCAAGGCTTGTAGTCGTGTACCTGGAGACCCAGGAGCACTTAAAAGGTCCAGGTTGTGTGTGTGCTTTGACTGTGTCTTACCTTCAAGTCAGCTAAGAGCTAGGAGTGATCCATCTACCCCACTTGCCTTCTAGTCCTTGAGGAAATGACCTTGGCAAAGGGGTTGGGAGGGAGCCCCATGTTCCTTGCTCTGAGCATCTGCATTTTGCCTTTATCTGTGGCTATTCCTCAATGCTTTGAAAGAACATATAATGTCTCCTCCCAGAGCCAAAACAATGACAAAAGACATGAGCTCAAAGTTCTACTTGGATATAACTCTGTGTAAATTAGGAGAATAATTATATTAGAGGATGTTAGCCTCTGTGACCCCTCTGCATAGGTATGTTTTGGTAAGATACTCTGGGTAGCCCTGGAAGTACAGTCATCTCTGGTATGGAAATACAGTAACCAGCAAGATTAGACAGACGTGGGAAATGCAGAAAACATTATTAGTATGAAAACTAGCAGAAACTGAGCTGAGATTAGGTCAGGACCGGAAGGACGTTGCTGTTCCCATAAAAACTACTTTCAAATCTTTAAGTGGCATCAGTCTGGGTGGTTATGCTGAGCAGCAAGTGGTGTGAACAAACAGAAAGCTGAAGTCTCTGCCCAAAGAAAGGTTAGAGACCCTTGTTTAAAACAAGATGCAGGACACAACAGTGCCAACATTCACCCTGCCCAGGCATTTGAGATGTTGGAGTCTGGGATCTGAGACTTCCTCACGGACAACAAAAAGAGTGCTATTGCCTGGGATGATCCAATTGAACAGGCATCCAAATTATCCTGCCAGGTAGGTGGCCAAGAGCACCACCTGCCTCCCGGGGCCACATGCATCTGACGACTGATTCGGGCATCTCAGACCTCTGGGAGGTCATCTGTAGACCTCTCTGTGCTGCATTTTGCTTGTCTCTGCTATATTAAACTATAGACAATACCTGTACAGTTTTTAGCAAATTTGGCATCCCCATAGTAACCCGGAGCGCATCGTTCGCACTTGAACCCGGTGGTGTTGCGCAGGCAGTTGCGGCACTGGCCGGTCACTTCATCACAGTCTTCAAAAATCAGGTTTGGGTCCGAGTTGCCACTGCAGTCGCATTTTTTACAAGTGCTTCCAATTAGCAAAGGGTTTCCATAGTAACCAGGGGCACACCTGAAAGGAAGAGCAAGCCCAGCAATGACAAGCAATGACATTCCCATCTGCGGCACCATTTTTTCTCTGACCTTATTTGTGTCACTAGGAATTGATGATGGCCATCAGCTGCTAATGGACAGAAGGCAAATTAGGAGCTGTATTCCTACAGTGGCTGTTTTGTACTCTAATCTCAATCTGTACAGTTAATGTATTTCCCTTCTTGAACACTCCTGGTATCTCAATCACGCCATTCTGCCTTATTTTGTGTGTGTGTGTCTTTAGCAGTAAAATTATTTGTTCCCCATTGTTTTAAAATCTATGACCTTGGCAGAGGGGCAGTTCTAGTGTTTATTTTGGTCTCTTTCAGCTTTGGATCTCACTAACTATATTGTGTTATATAGGAAACTGAGGTAAGAGACTGCATTTCATGATGCTGAAACTCAGAGGAAGTTCAGACCTTATTTCCGTTATAATGCATATAACAAAGTACTGACCAGAAAAGGTTTATATAAATACATCTGCGGTGAGGCAATGGAATGGTTTCTGGTTTTTGCAAACCAGAACAGTCACTGAACCGGCCCTCATTTTTCAGATTTGTTCGATGTTAGCCTGCTTGCTGAGGGCAAAAGGCTGAGAGCAGCCGCCAGCCCAGGAGGGGAGGATTCCTCTGTTGGTGAGCAGAGGGTGAGAGGGAGGTGGGTAACAAACACTTTAGGGGAGGCCTGAAATAAGTCCCAATTGCTTTTCATGTCTTCTCATGTTTGGGAAGCGTTTCAGTTGAAAACTTGCTACATCTTAAAATGGAAGAGATGTTGAAACTGTAGTGGGTTTTGAAAGTCTCAACAAACCAGCGATACATAACACTCCTGGGTGATCAGTGACCCTAAGCTAAGACAACAGGTAATAGGTTTGATGGCATCATTTGGAAAGAAAGTAGAGGGTTTCAGTTAAAGGAGTTTCTGCTGGTTGCAGGGAGTGTACTTAATCCTACGAGCTACAGGATCTTTTGCAAAACAACCAGTGAGGAGAACAGAGCCAGCACCAGAGTGGGCATGGAGCAGCTTGCGGGAGCAAATCCTTGAGCAAGGGCATTGCTGGAGGAGCTGGCGGCTGGAGCAGTGTGGAGCAGCAGCTGATGGACTGGAGAGGTCAGCTGGCAAGACAGGGGCAATCCGGGCAACTCATGCCATTTGTGGTGTCACTGTGGGATGGCAGGAGGGTCCATGATTCTGCAGCCTGGGGCGCAGAGATCAGGGACCAGTACCCCCAAACTGGGAATGAAGAATTACTGTGGGGAGGAGAATAACTAGCTGGCGTAGCAATTGCTTACTGAAGAAATTGGAAGTTTGAATAGTTGCTGCAGTGATTCAGGTAAGGAGTAGTTACTGTATTTCGTCCTGTTTTATCACCCTGTTGTCCTTGTCTTTTCTCCCATCTATAAAGTCCTGTTCAAAGATGCTGTTTGTTCTTATGTTTGTGAGTGGGGAGTGTGAGCTCTCAGACAGTTTAGTTTTCCCAGGTTTCTAGCTGGGGATATGAGTTAAAATCTGTTGTCTCCTAAAATCTGAACATAGTCAAATCCAGCTTCTGCTATGTCTGAATGATGAAAATGTGGGAGATCTGATAGGAGCTTGCAATTTTGATCTGTTCCTACATTTGCTGGGGTTTTTTTTTGTTAAAAAAAAGAAAGGTAATTTCTTCAGTGCTGCTTTGTTCATGTTCCAGTCCTGAACCCCCACAGTAAAAAGGCATAAAATTTTAAGCATCTTAATATAAACCACCTGGCTGCCTCAAATACTGCTTTTGCCAATGGCAAAGACTCTGTTTGTCTCTTTGCAGCATTGCCAGAATCTTTGGTGCAGATCTTACCGCTTGAGTGACTGAGATGTAAAGAATAAAAGTGTGACCTGGAGTTCTGTGCGCCCTTTGAAGAACAGTGAATGCAACACGGAGCATAATGAGTGTGATTTAGCTGACACTGATGGAGTCACTCCCCATTCCCATGGGAGTTAGAGGAGGCAGTGACAAGTAATGCTACTATTCAGTCGTGCCAAAAGTCTTGCTACAATTTTCTAGTACTTCAGCCAATCTGAGACTGTAGTATTTTCTCAGTTTTCAAAATTTCAATATGTTTATGAAGTTTGAACAAGATAAAAACCCTCTCTGTTTTGTTTTGTTGGTTTTTATTTTTTTTAAATAATTTCCTTTATTTTGAACTCTCAAAATCTTCCAGAGTTTCTTTTTAATTTTCTGTAGTTAATAATTTTCCAAATGGTCATCTGTCCAAGGTGGCCACCAAGTCACAGAAACCACTGAGCAGTGCTGGGACGAGACCAGCATTTTGCTTACTACTTACCACTATCCAGCTCTGGCTTTCAGCCAGTATCTACTGAATATTGCATACTCTTCCCATCAGGCCCACAATGTCTGCCCTCTCATCAGGGCAAGGTGATTTTTTTTTTTTTCTTTTCTGAAATATACCTTTCAGTTCACTTGCCAGAAATGTAGTGGGCAGTTCCTCACATTCTCACAGATATATTTTGTAAGTGCTGGTTTTTATGACCTTCTGACTCACTTTTATTAGCTATATCTCCTCATCTGGAGTAGCTGTTTAAAACAAATAGAAACTTTTAGAGCTGAAAATAAATGTGTCACCTTCACTTTCCCCTTCCTTTTACCACTCAGTGCATCTCACAGGGCTGGACTGTTCTTGGCCTTTTTTGCATCATTGGTAGCACATGAGAGGAGCAGAGGCTGCTGGATGGACACATACTGCTGCATCTCTGCACTTTATGGCCTGAAAAAGTAGAGGCCTGCAGTAAATGTCTTTTCCTCCGTTGTATCAATAAATGGCTCTTTGTTGCTAACGAAGAATATTTCCTCTCCTGTAATAAAGCTGCTAAATTAGCTTTGTTTTATTTTGCAGCCATGTTTGCTTCCTGTAATTATTGGTGAGTAAGAAATTTACTTCCTCTTCCCTGGCAATGCCAAAAGAACTTTTTTCATCTGTTCACTTTAGACACTAAAATATCATTTGTTCAGTTATCTTTTTTAACATTTAGGCATTAACAAAACCTGGATTTCATCCACTACCACCGTAATGCATTATTGGTGAAGTCCAGGAGCAAAGTGATTCATTCCTAAATTTCGAATCGGGAAGCTGGTTTTCTCAGTTCCTAGCAAAGGCTGCCATGATTTCACAACACCATTTGCTGGCGAAGATAAACTGGATAGGTTTGTGCCAAGCCCCTGGAGCAGCGCAAGAAAGCCTCCTACACGAATGCCAGAGGAAATGGAGCTGATTACCTCCTGCCCGTGGAGGGGTGTCCTGCAGCTCGCTGCCCTGTGGTGCTCGTCACCCACCGCTGGGGAGAGCTGGGAGGGAGGGCGATGAGCAGGATGTAGCCTTCCTCTCTCTGGAGACACGAGCTGCTATTTGGGCTGCAGCGAAGGACAGGGCCAATGCCCCTTCTCTTTCAGGATCACCCAGTCCTGCTGCCAGCACGTTAAGAGCGTGACAGCTGTCAGTGGGAGCAGTGGCCAGCAGCAGTGCATGCAAGGCAGGGACTCGCTCTTTAGCAAGTGGACAGGGATAAGCAATGCATTTCTCGCTAGTCTTCGAAACACTTTTTGTCATTTCTGGCACAAATGGGAATAGGACCAGGAGCCTACCAGAAAGAAAGTCTTGTCTGCAACTGCTTGCCATTTACCCCAGCAGTTAGTTGAGGACTTAACACGGTGCTCAGGACAGGCTGATTTCTTTCTGTAGCTTTTTCTAACCCGTCTATGCAGTTTTGCCTTCCCTGAGACAGATGCACTATGTCAGGCTGGGTAGTAGCTATAAGAAAACAAAGCTGATGCTATTTTCTGCTGTTACTATGCATCTGCTACTCACTTGATAGGATTCGATTTGCTTATAGTCTAGGTTGACATTTTAATAACCATTAAGAAACCTCACTGACCTTTTAATTGTCTGCATTATCCTTTGTGTATGTATCTGACATTTTGGAAGAACAAAAGAATACAGCCATAGGCCTGGAAACAATGGTGTTTTTTTTTATTTTTGTGCCATCTGTCTAAAGGGCTTTCACTATTTCTGTCACCATGTTAGTGATGGGGAGGTAATATACTGATGTTTTTGCATCATCTGCAAAGGCAAAAGCCTTCACTCTTTTTTTCATCTTAACTTTTTCATATTGATTTCTCTTTGCATCCCATTTTCTCCCTTCTCTGATAGTTAACATCAAGTATCATTTGAATTCAAGACTTGCCCATTAATGAAAGTGGACTGAAGTCTTAAATACTTCAGGGGCTTTAAGGAAAAACAAAATGAGGTGTTCAGGAAACCAGCATTGGAGCCATCTTATACCCCTCAGTCTTTGTGTTAGAGCTATGTTAATATATTGGCTGCTCAAGGACGATTTCTAAATTATAATCAAGCCTCTGACATTCATTGAAACATTATCCATGGTTATTCATAGTGAGTAAGATGGCCCTTTATGATGTAGAAGAGTAAGTTATATTTCTGCTGTATAGCTCCATTTATTTGTGTGCTTTGTTATTTAGAAGATATTGACTAGAAATTGTTTATGAGCATAAGGGCAAGGTTGAAAAGCAGCACTGGCCTACAGTTGTTTGCTTGGCTTCATTGAATTATGTCTGTGAAGTACATTTGAAATTTAACTAAAAAATCTGCATCTGCTCATTAAGAATTTCACTAGATTTTGCATTTTCTCCTTTGCTTTTGAAAAATTTATTTGGTGAGAAGCCTGCTATATGTTTTAGCGTGCTGAATTGCAAGAGGTACCTATGTGGTGGTTATTTTTCACTTCTGCTGCTGTTTCTGCTTTGTATTTTGTATTTTGATTTGTAAATTGTATTCCTTTTAAGAAGATCACCACATGAAGGTACACAAGTGCAAGAACTCGATCACAATAAATCAAATGTAAATTTCTGTCTTACCCTGTCTTAACCACACCAAGTTCTTGTGGTTTTTAGTAGGAACGGAATGAGATCCTTTAACAGACATGATTCAACCTGGTGAAAACACATGCACAAGATTTCTCCCCAGTGTGAGAAGATTCCCTTGACTTCTAGACTTCAGTATTGTTGCCCAGTAATTCATCCCGTTATTTTCTTACCTTTCACAGTTGGGTCCTGCATAGTTTTCCTTACAGACACAGCGCACACTTCCACCTTTTCTGTAACAGGAGACTGCAAAGCTGGAATTTCATCAGAATGAATAGTTAGAATAGCAGGCAATGGCAAACACCTGGGAGTATTTCTTAACTACATTATGGACTTTAGCTGTCAGTGTGAGCTCTGGCTCTTGGTTACTCATTGCTGAATGGATATTCCTGAACTCTGTGTTATTCACATTATTCGCCTTGTTTAATCTTATTAATTAGTGTAGAAAGCACTAATTAGCGTTAAGCACCATGGAGCTCTACAAATGCAGATATATATATAAGGTCCTGTCTAGCAGTGTAGTTCAGGCACACATTCAGGTTTTGATACATACATTTGATCCGTACATACATTTTAGATAAAGGACTTAGGATAAATATGTATGTCATGCAAACCTAATTGCTTCCTATGTCTTATTCTAAGAGGTGAAATATTGCTTATGAAAGACACTGCAGTAAGCACTTGAGGAATATAGTCTCTGAAATGGGTGCAGCAGTTTCCTATGCAATTCCTACAATTTTCCTCAAATACAACCTGGACGTACTGAGTTGTGATAATTGAACTCAGTGACACTATCCTTATTCAGGGTAACCGAGGCTGCTCTACCATCTCTCTGATTAAGCTCTGATTAAGAGTCTCGGGCCTCTTCTGAGAGCAACATGCCAAGTAGTGATACTGATTGCAGTAATGGGTTGGGCTGTAATTTTCAGTGCTGTGATTCTAAATCATGGATTGCTTTGCTTTCTTATGTTTTCAGGATTTAACAAATGTGTAACTAAATATGAGACCCAAGGAATAGCAGCAGCCAGATGTGGAAAGTGCAAATTGTATACACTTCAAACACGGTGATGGACATGGCTTAAATACATTTGTAGAAAGAAGGCATACAGTCCTAAAGATGTTTCCGGTTAGTTTGCAATATGCGTGAGTAAATTTCTGCCAGCACTGGAATGCGACCAGAGTAGTGAGCAGCAGCAGTTGTCAGCTGCAGCCTCATAGCTGCTAAAATGTGGGTCCTGAGTCGTACAGTGCTGGGCAACTGTGGCCAGGTTGCACCCCTTTCACACAGAAGGATGAAAGACTTGGAGCGACTGGAAAGAGCATGATCCACAAACTGCTTGTTCGAGGAGTGAGCAGCATTGAAAGGTGACAAGAACTTCTGCATAATTTCAGTTCTCACCAGCATTTTTCAGCCAGTGGGATGACCAGGGTCAAATAAATCTGTGTCTGGATCTGTGCTGTCTCAAAATATTTTGTATAACCAGAGAGAACATAAAATAAGATTCTTCTCACAGAATTCACAAATTAACTTTAGTAAAGCTTTTTTGAGAACTTATCAAGAAAAGCATAACAGCTTGGGAGCCTTCCTTTTCTTTTACAGAGGTTAATTTCTTCACATAGTTGAGAAAACCACGCTGTGGGTTTAAGTTATGAAATAAGACTGAAGCCTTCCTGAGGTTTTATATTTTTTGTGATCTTTAAGGGAAAAAAAGTTTGTAAAATTCCCTCAGATTTGAAAAGAAGTAACATCTGCTGGACTGTGAAGCAATCTCCCTCCTCCTGGTTTTGATTCCAAACAGATGACATTACACTTCATGTCATGTCCAAAAGTTATTCCAAAAGTTCCCAGGATAGCAGATATGAAGATAGTCTGGCCAGAAAATCTAGAGACACACAGATGAATCCCAAGAAAAGATATGTATCTGATGACCCTGTCAGTTTATAAATTTGGTCATTTTGCCTAGCTATTATGAATTCACTGGCTATTTCCAAAGTAAAATAGAGTACAAACCAACATCCCTTGGATGTTCTTTATTTGAGGTTTTTAGCGCTTCTCTGCTTTCTGGTAGTTACTGTTTTGCCTTTATATAAATGGAGTAAGCTTAAAGAAGGAAAATTTAAAAAAAAAAAAACACAACAGAAAGAATAGTTGTTCTTTGAATTTAGTTATGCAATATGCAAAGCTGAATGTTGCTCAATCATTATTATTTGCCTGTTCCAGACCCAGCTGAAGGCGATTTCTGTGGTCAGATCTCTCTCATGCAAGAAGCTGAACAGGCAATTTTTGCATGTTATTTAAATCGGGGTATGAGGCAAATTGGGATTGAATATTCCTTTAATGCCTTGAGGACTTTTCTGGGGGAAAACTGAAAATCTGAAGTGGGTTTTTACTGAGGTGGTTTTAAAGGGATGACATATCACAGAACACTGAATATCCTGAGATGGAAGGGACCCAAAAGGATCACCAAGTCCAACTCCTGTATTGCCGCTAACGCTGACGCATCTGCATTCAGGCTCCTTGCAACTTTTGTTCTCCCTTCCTGATCCTGTGCTGCTGTCCTTTTGGATTCAGGGCTTCCTTATCTGTAGTGGTCTGGAATAGGAGAGGTGTATATCCATAGAAGAAGGGCTAAGGACCATGTTGAAGCAGGGAATGCCCCTCGGCCTTGGCACCCGTCTCGCACGGCGCTTGCAGACAGCCTGCAGACTGATCCCTGCCGGTCCCACTGCTCCGCGCTCTCCTGCACTGGCAGGGGCACTGTCCCGGGGCTTGGTGGGCTGCAGGACTGGGCAGGGGTGCTGGGTGAGTGCAGACCCAGCCATGATCTGCCGAATAGCACTGTAGGGGGGACAGTTTAGGCCTTGCATAGAATCATGGAATCATAGAATGGTTTGGGTTGGAAGGGACCTGAAAGGTCATCTAGTTCCACCCCCCCTGCCATGGGCAGGGACACCCTCTACTACACCAGGTTGCCCAAAACCTCATCCAACCTGACTTTGAACACTTCCAGGGATGGGGCATCTACAATTTCTCTGGGCAACCTGTTCCAGTGCCTCACCACCCTCACAGTGAAGAATTTCTTCCTTATATCTAATCTAAATCTGCCCTCTTTCAGTTTAAAGTCATTGCCCCTTGTCTTATCACTACATGCCCTTGTAAAAAGTCCCTCTTCAGCTTTCCTGTAGGCCCCTTCAGGCACTGGAAGGCTGCAGAGTATGAAGCATGACTGACCACGCTTAGCAGAGAGTAGGCTCTGTGCGGCAGTGCCTCAGACATGGGCAGCCCGAGTCGTGGCTGAGATTGCTGCTTCTTACAGCAAAGTGGCTGCTCTGTGACTAATAGGTTAAAAAAAAAAAAAAAATCACTTTGCTAAGGAAAAAGCACTGCTTCTGACTGTTGTATTTCTACTATTTCTGGCATTGCAACCACTACTGAAACTGGAGGAAGCAGCCTGCTTTGTCTAGGAGCTCACTCGCTCCTACGCCTTTTTACGTGTGAGCAAAGCCAGGTTCTTTCACAGTCTCTGGAGGGCTTTTTCTTTACTCCAGGCAAAGCTGCAGCTTTTCAACAATAGCTGTTCCCCGCCCCATGGCCCTCCTCACATGTCCGCAGCTCACTGCGAAAGCCAAGAGGTGATCTGCGGGAGCTTGGCCGGAGCGATTTCGTTCCATTGCCATTTTGAGCCTGTGCCACTGAGCAGCCGAGCGGAACGCAGCTCATCCCACCTTAAGGATGTACGAGTAATCCTATAGCAACAGCAAACAAATACAGTGAGGAAATTCCCTTTTGCTGAGAAGCCCTGCTGAAAATGAAATGGGAAACACCGCAAGGGGAATAGATATCTCGCCAAAAAATAGCTTTAACCCATCGGCAAGTATTTACTAGCATCTCCTCTGCGTACTATAGTGAGATTTGCTCTCTTACAGCACAGGTCACAAGCAAGAAGAAGCTAATAATTTCTGTCATCTACATTACTAATGTACCACTAACGGTTTCTAACAGCTATTCATGGCTTATAGTTATTTGTTTCTTCTGAAGGCACAAGGTGGATAATAGCTGGAGCTCTTTGGCTTCTTCTTGGTTTTCTTACCCAAAGGTCGCTGGGCATCAGCGGAAGGGTTCCATACCTGTCGCAGCGTCCTCCAGCCTTTTCCTTTCAGCTGTTCTTATACTAACCAAATCCAGCCGCTGTTTGCTCAGGAGACTGCCAGGCTGTGCTTTATGTGGTTGGTTTTACCCTCCAGAGGTCATAGATTGATCTTTCTTTCTGCCATCGTACATCCCCGATGCTACCTTCCTTGGGAACTGGTATTTAAGGGATCCTTAAAGTAATCAGACAGATGAATAATCTCTCCTACCTAAAAGAGGGTGAACTTGAATTTAACCAAATATTTTGTCTTCCCTTTTGACAAGAATTGATACGAGCACTTAGGGATATTTTACACCTTCTAAATACTGTTTCCTGTGGTTATAAATGTGAGCAGCTGGTAGTCCTCTTATTTTCCCCCAGTTGGCAAGGGCAGCAGCCTTTGTCTCCTGCATCCAGGAAGAGGTGCTGACCTCACCTTGGAAAGGGTCAAAGCCAGCCCAAAGAGAAGCAAAGACTCTTTACGTACTTGGCAAGTGCTGGCAGGGGGCAGGGGCAGGGCTGGCAGAACGTGGGCACTCCTCTGACAACGTCACTGATGAAGCCATCCGGACATTGCTCGCAGTGCTGTCCTGTTGTGTTTCTCTGGCAGTCCTTCAGTGGAAAGAGAGAGAATGGTGAAAGTTAAACAGAGATGCTGCCTAATTCAGAAAGAAATCGTTTAGCTGAAGACCCAGCCAAGCAGAATAGGGGCTGATGCCAGACCCCGACCCTTCAAGGCATTGACAGATGAAGCCAAACCAGCTAGCATTGCTACAAATAAATATGCTATAAATGATTACACTGGCCAAGCAGCAAGTGTTGGCATGATGTGGTACAGGACACAACAGACGTATGTGCCTGCCAGGTGCTGGAGGAGAAGCAGCACTGCCTGTCATCAGAGATGTCAGGGGTACTCAGGTGTAGCCGGCAGCTCTGTTTTGAATTGTATGCTCCAGTAGGAAAAAATCCCTTTTACTGACATCAAAACAAAATGAAAAATATCTGCTGGTAAATACTATCAACAGATTTCAACCTAGATATAGGTTTCAGTGAGGCTGTTTCTTGGATCTAATGACTGGAAAACAGCACCAAGGGAACCTGTCTGCACATGGTGGCTAATACACCAGTGGCTCTGATGTTTTTCTCCAAGATGAAAAGTGTTACAGCATGAGGGGATGTGTTATCACCACACCTGTTCTCAGCCTTAAAGGAGGTCCACTTAATGGAGGGAAGAAGCAGGAGTCTTCTATAACTGGCCTTTCTCTGAAATACAGAGCAACTGTGCAAAATGTCACTCACTTTAGAAGTAAGCTACTTCTCCATAGTTTAATGTTTGTAAGGAAATATGCTTCCTCATGCAGAGGCAAATTGGTCACCAGCCAATATTATTGGGGCTCCATGGAAGTAAATCAAGCTGTGGTGATTCACAGAGAATATTTGTTCCAAAATATTTCATGATGCTAGGTACAAAACTGTGTCTCTTGGATAATATTTTCAATCACAAAAAAATGTCAAGGTTTGCTGTAGACAACTCTAAATGGAATTTGTAAATCCTACAAGTTTAAATAAGCATTGTTATATCTTTTGATTTACAAACGAATACATTTAGATGCCCCACGAGTTATGTGGGCTTTCCCCGTGGCACATGGCAAGGCAGTGGGTGACTGGTGCAGAGTGCATGAGCAGTGCTCCTGCATGCTGCAGGACTCCTGCAGACTCCTGTCCCCATTTCCACTTTAGCAAAATATCCAGAAGTTGTTATCAAAAACTCACAACCCTCCAAATTCTAGCTATCTTACTGGATTACTTTAAAAGGATAGGAAGGATGTAGAAGTGCTACTTCTTTCTTACAACTGTGCAACAAATTTTGCAATGTCTCTGAATCAGAACTCTCCAGTTGCACCCCTTTGTGCAGATACAGTACAGATGCGAACAGCTATGTAAGGGAAGAGGCAGCAAGGAGTCAGCTCCTTGGTAGAAATATGTGGAGAACTACTATTTCAGTGGATATTTGCTGTGGTTTTGGGTTGATGTGCTTGATTCTTTCCTCCTCTGGCCTACAAACAGTGGATCATGGAAACTACAGACTGATGGATATCATTTCCATCCTGGTAAGATGATGGTGTCTATAATAAAGAAGATCCCTGAGTGCATGACTAAGCATTGAGTCAGGAACTCCTGCTTCATGAACCTGCTGTACAATGGCACAAATAAGCAAGCGTATGAAGGGGAGCCAGAGGACATAACACATCTGGACCTTCAAAAAAGTCAACTAAGTTGTCAGGGGACTTGAAGAAAGTTTCTTTTACAAACTGAAAGCTGATAAGGGATAGGAAGCAACAGGTAGGACATAGCAGTCACTTTTCAGAGTGGGGAAGGGTCACTGTTCAGATCATCTAGGATTTAGTGCTGAGACTAGTTTTGTTCAGTATTCACCAGTGTCTCACAGAGACCAAAAACTCTAGGGCTGCTCAGATGGGAGAGAAAGGCTGACAGCTGGTTGTGTTTGGGTTATGTAAAATCACAAAGTTGGTAAATAAGCTGAATGCAGGACAACAGTTCATCCAAATCCTGCAATGCAAGAGCTGAGGGGCACTCACTTTAAAAGGTACTTCTTTACACAGAAGGTAAGAAACTTCTGTAACCTGCTGCCAGGAGGTGACAGTATTTGCAGGGATAAAAAGGAGTTTCCTAGAAAAATTGATGGGCAACAAATTCATAAATGGACACAAAAAAAGACCCAGGAGATATGTACACTCTAGCATTCCCTAGTATAGCAATTGTGGATACTGGTGGAGTACAAAGCAGAGACTTCAGAAACGGGCCAGGCTAGGTGCCCGCCCCAAACAGCATTGCCTATTGCCACTGCTGGAGACCCAATACGGGCTACAGAGACCTTCGGCTGAGCCCTGCAGGGGACCTCTTGTGCCGTGTTCAGAGTTGGCGCGGGTGCTGGGAAATGACCATATTACCCTGGTTTATTCGCCAGTAGTCATTTAATTCCATCACAGAAGTCACTGTGCTGTCAGCAGCTGGCAGTCCCTGGAATAACAGGGAAGCTGAGTGTGGGACTTCAGCAGTGCTTGCAAGGGGAAGGAGCTCCCTCGCATGGGGCAAGGGACACCTTGGCCTCTCTGTGGTCAGAGCTTCTTCAGCAGCACCAGCCTTGGGGTGGGTGAGCTCAGTTTACCATTTTTCAACTGGGCCATACCGTACAAATTTGAAACTCACTTTCTACTCCAATCGTGGTGTGTTCTTTGAAGAAAAGAGTTTGGGGAGAGAGAAATGCAATCAGGGAAGATGTTTAATATAAACAGTCAAGTTTCCCTTGCACAGGCATGCAATGAGTTTTGTATCCGAGTATGGTAACTTTGATGTAGTGGCATAATTTTGTCCTAGTAACATTGATGTTTTGGGGTTGTTTCTTTTTTTTTTTTTTTTTTTTTGCTTCCCTAAGTCTGTATCCAGATAACATCAATCTGCATTGAAAAATGTCATTTCAGTAAAGGATGGTCACTATTGTGAAAACACATCTGATGTTTTTTCAGTCAATATTCCTCATCTAAATCCCATTAAAGCCCCCAGTTAGGACTCATTAATTTAGTTCAGATTCTTTTTGATTCTAGAAGGCTTTGCTTACGTTGCTGCATTTTTGAGAGTCACATAGAACCTATTGCATAGCAATTATTTATTTCTACAAAGCTGTGATTTGGTCAAAGAACTCTACAGAAGGTAGAATATGATAAGAAAATGAAAAAAGTCAATTTATTTTTCCATGGATCTTTAAACAGATTAAACACCAATAGCTGTAGGGCTAAAGGTGTTTTTTCACAGTAATATTTGCTGTAAAGAAAAGAATATTTTTTAGTATGTAGAAAACTAGAAAGTAATTTTAACTAAAAGACTCTAAAATACAGAAAGCTTGACAAGGAGGAGGAGGAGGAGGAGGAGGCGGAGGAAAGAAACTTGCTAAGAGCAGAGAAACTGAGAGCAAATGAGAGTAGAGTGGTAGGCAGCCGGTGGGGAGATGTCCAGATCTCACGCTCCTCTCTGGCGAGAGCACATTAACTGCGAGGCACGTGGTGTGAGCCAGAAGGCACGAAGGCTTACACAGTTTGAAAAATAGTTTGCATTTGTCTTTGCTCAAAGAAAAAATGACTTTACCACAAGAGAGAGATGAGAGGGTGGGCCCTGTGTGCTCGAAGAGAAAGAGCAATCCTGTATCAGAGGCCCCAGGTGGGCTGTGTTCAGTTGTAGCCTTCATCATACTGTTTGGGCTCTGAGCAATTCACTTCACCTCTCCTGTCCTCAGCTCTCCAGACAACACACAGGTATTAACAGAATAAATCTGTTATTGGTCTCTAAAGCTCAGATGCTATTGTGATGAACAGAGCAGGGCAACAGGGGAGCTGATGTTGCTCCTTAAATCTACAGTGTTTTTCATATTCTAAACAAAAGGGAAGTGCTAAAATATCCTCTTACCTTAAAGACGCTTTTAGCTGAGAGCTTGAGGCACTTTTGTAGTTTTTTTCTGCTTAGTGATTATGTAAAAGTGGCTTTATCTTATTATACAAGTCAGAACTCCTGTGAGTATTTAGAATCATATTTTTACAGTAATAAATAAAGTGGCCTTATATTTTATGTTCCATTAACTTGCATCTCCAATAAAATCGTTGACTACAATAAGCCTGTGAGACATGTCTGAAGGCAGGGAGGAGAGACACCCTCCCTGCAGCTCATGGGTGATTCTCAGCTCTGGGTGGCAATGCTTTGGTAGCTGGAGAAAAGTCTTTTGCTCAATGGGTCACTTTTGACAGAGAAGTAATGATGAGGAAAAAATGGAATTCCCTTTATGGCGATTTTTGTGAAATTGGATTTTAAAGAAATGCTTTGCTGTCAGAGTTGCAAGAGCTACTCTTGGTCCAGGTATTCCTACAAGCTTCAGGATGAAAGGCATCATTTACGGTTCATGTCATAAATCAGATGTGATTTTTCACTGCCTTCCCTGTCTCAGTGGTTTGTTCAAATGCACTCACAAAATTGCAGAAATGTTTACTGAAATTGGTGCCTGCTTTTTCAAATAAACGAACTCAGAATACATTTTTTGTTTTGCTTTCCTTTGAAAACAAGGAAGACTGATATAAAAATCTCCAGAAAACACTAAGTGGTATGTATCTTAGGGCATCAAACACTGAAGTTTAGCAGAAAATTGCTGGCCTGTCTTTGTACCAAACAGAGTGAGACGTGGTAAAGTTTACACAAACAGGTAAAACAGTGCAGTTAGAAGTATCACAACTAGGCTTTATAATACTCTTCTTTTTGCAAACTATGTTTCAAATTACAGTAAGATAAAATAATAAACTCGGTTCTTTCCACATGGTCATGTTAATACAACCTTCATTTTCACAAAGCAAAAGTCAAGGCAGAGGTGTCCCTTCCTCATGGATAATTCAGCTTCAGAGGATGTAATCCAATGTAATAGCAGCCTGGCTTCTAAAAGCCTCTGTACCAGGATACAGCAGATAATTCAGCTATCAGTACACCAGCAGCAGCTTGTCGGATAACAGAGTGACTGGAGTGTATTTTCCTAGGCTAGAAAATGCCTTAAATGG